CTCATAGACCAGAGGAAATATCAATCCATTTTAGCTGAGTGCTGTGGCTCATACCTATAATCCTAGCTACTCAAGAGGCTGAAATCTGAGCCACCAGCACCTGGTGTTTTTGTTGTTGTTGCTGTTGTTTGTTTTTGTTTTGTTGTGGGGCTGGAACTCAGGGCCTGGGCACTGTCCCTAAGCTTCTTTCTTTTGCTCAAGGCTAGCAATCTACTACTTGAGCCATAGCCTCACTTCTGGCCTTTTTTGGTGGGGGGGGGGGTCAGTCATGGGGCCTGAACTCTGGGCCTGGGTGCTGTCCCTCAACTCTTCAGCTCAAAGCTAGCACTCTACCATTGAGCCACAGTGTCACTCCCAGCTTGGTCTGCTTATATGGAGCTGAGGAATGGAACCCAAGGTCTCATGCATGCAAGGCAAGCACTGTACCACTGAGCCACCTTCCCAGCCCACTTCCAGCCTTTTCTGTTTATATGGTGCTGAGAAATTGAACCCAGGGCTTCATGCATGCTAGGCAAGCACTCTACCACTAAGCCTCACCCCCAGCCCCAAGCCTAAGTACTCTTGATAGCAGTGGGAAACTGGAAAGCACCCAGATGAATAGGCCCACGGGGTCCTCCTAGCCACCGCCATGACAGAGCTATGTGGCCAGCACAGGTGATAAACATTAGGCCTATCTTTATGCATAGAAATGTACGTGTGTGTGTGTGTGTGTGTGTGTGTGTGTGTGTGTGTGTGCATAAGCCTGCCTGATAAGAGAAGAACAGAGTGGTGTTCACACACTGATTGTAGCTATGCTGAAATCTTAAGTGTGTGTAATAAGGGCCAGAAGATAATTTAGAAAGGTGTAAACAGGGCTGGGAAGGTGGCTCAGTGGTAGAGTGCTTGCCTTGCATGCATGAGGCCTTGGGTTCGATTCCTCAGCACCACATAAACAAAAAAAGCTGGAAGTGGCGCTGTGGCTCTAGTGGTAGAGCACTAGCCTTGAGCTGAAGAGCTGAGGGACAGCGCCCAGGTCCAGAGTTCAAGCCCCATGACCGACAAAAAAAAAATAAAAAAAGAAAGAAAGAAAAAGAATGGTATAAATAAAGGTTGCCTCAATTCTTTAAACTTCTCGGTTTTTCTCTCAGCCCTGGTGATCAAACTCAGGGCTGCACACCCATTAGGCAAGCACTCTACTGTTAAGCAACACCCCCAACTCCGCCTTGATTTTTAGAAATAAAGTGATATGAATATAGAATTTTAAATGAAATTCCATCTCCAGAATTGTTTAAAAACTGGGCACTAATGGTTCATGCCTTGCTACTCAGGTGGTTGACATCTGAGGATCATGGTTTGAAGCCCATCCAGTGAGAATCTATCTCCAAATCACCAGCAAAAATGCTAGAATAGAGGTGTGGCTCAACTGGCAGAGCAGCTGTCACGAGCAAAAATAGCCAAATGAGAATCTTTGAGCCCACTTAAAAAAAGAAAGAAAGAAAAGCCAAATGAGAGCACTGGACCACAAGTTCAAACCATCAGTGCCTGCGCATGCGTGGGCATGCACACACACACACACACACACACAGATCTTAATTTGATTATGTGGTAGGAAGGATGCTATGGCCCTATCTGAAGACTGTGGGAAAGAGCATCATGCTCGATTAGTGATGTCTGCCCTGGGTGAAGGATGTGTTTTAGGCACGTGGACAGGGCACTTTGATCACGTGATCGCCATGTGGACAGGACATTTTAGGCACATGGACAAGGCACTTTGATCACATGATTGCCCTGTGGACAGGGTGTTTTTGGCACATGGGCAGGACGTTTGATCACATGATCACCACATGGACAGGGTGTTTTAGGCACGTGGACAGGGCATTTTGATCATGTGATCAGAACATGGACAGGCTTTTTAGGCACATGGACAGGGCACTTTGATCATGTGATCGCCACGTGGACAGGACATTTGGATCATATGATCCCTACATGGACAAGGCGTTTCAGGCACGTGGACAGGGCATTTTGATCACGTGATCACCATGTGGACAGGGTGTTTTAGGCATGTGGACAGGGCAGTTTGATCACATGATTGCAACATGGTCAAATGGTAGAGTCCACGAAGGGATCACCTGATTAAACAGTGATGTCCATGTGGACACAATGTGATTAAACAGTGGTGTCGACGTGGTGTCCATGTGATCAAATGATGGTGCCCATGTGGGGATCACATGATTTAATGGTGGTGTCCATGTGATCAAATGATGGTGTCCACGTGGGGAACCACGTAACTAAATGGTGGTGTCCACATGCTGTCCACATGACCAAATGATGGTGTCCACGTGGGGACCAAGTGACTAAACAGTGGTGTCCACGTGGTGTCCACGTGACCAAACGATGGTGTCCACGTGGGGACCAAGTGACGTGATCAAATGATGGTGTCCACGTGGTGATCACGTGGTTAAACAGTGGTGTCCATGTGGTGTCCACATGATTAAACAGTGGTGTCCATGTGGTGTCCACGTGATTAAATGGTGGTGTCCACGTGGGGATCACGTGACTAAACAGTGGTGTCCACGTGGTGTCCATGTGATTAAACAGTGGTGGTGTCCACACGATCAAACTGTCGTGTCCACGTGAGGATCACGTGACTAAACGGTGGTGTCCACGTGGTGATCACGTGATTAAACAGTTTAACCCCAGTTTTCACTGTATTTGATGTTTTTGTTTTTTTGTCGGTTGTGGGGCTTGAACTCTGGGCTTGGGCGCTGTCCCTCAGCTCTTCATCTCAAGGTGAGTGCTCTACCACGTGAGCTACAGCGCCACTTCCGGTTTTCTGGTGGTTTATTGGAGATAAGAGTCTCACAGACTTTCCTGCCCGGGCTGGCTTTGAACCACGATCCTCAGATCTCAGCCTCCTGAGTAGCTAAGATTACAGGTGTGAGCCACCGGCGTCCGGCTCGTATTTGTTTTTATGATTTGTGGAGGGGAAGGGAAAAAACAAATTGTTTAAATAGGGATATAGGTGGACCCATTGCAACAATGAGATATTCAAGATATTATGTCGAAAAACGAACTTTACTACTTTGGCTTGGGGGTGAGGAGTGGGGAAAGGGGGAGGGGGAGATGGTGTGGGGGTGGAGATGGGGAGGGATGGGAAGGGGAAACAAAGGAGGAGGCAACAATACTTGATAAGAAATGTACTCATTACCTTGCCCATGTAATTGTAACCTCTCTGTATGGTATTTTCACAATTAAAAAAAAAAAAAAGCCTGGGCTCGGAAGGTGGCTCAGTGGTAGATTGCTTGCCTTGCATGCATGAGGCCCTGGGTGTGATTCCTCAGCACCACATAAGCAAAAAGAAAAAAGCTAGAAGTGGCGCTGTAGCTCAAGTGGTAGAGCGCTAGCCTTGAGCTGAAGAGCCGAGGGTCAGCGCCCAGGCCCAGAGTTCAGGCCCCACGACCGGACCAAAAAAATAACCAAAAAAAAGCCAGAAGTAGAAGTAGAGAGCACCAGCTTTGAAAGAAAAGCAAGCAGGACTGTAAGGCCCTGAGTTCAAATCCCATTATAAGCACACACAAATGAAAATGCCCTGCAGTGGGCTTTCTAGATATGGAGGTAGAGATAAGCAGGTGGGGGTGGGGGTGGGGCCTGGGGACCTGAGGAGTCCGCTGAGCTGCCCGGGGTCAGGGTGGATACATGGGGGCTGCAGAGGCGGGAGCTGGCAGCTCAGACGAATGCCCAGAGGCGTGGAGCAGGGCGGCTGGGGCACAGGGAAGGCCTGGCAGGGACGAGACTGCAGGGCTCCTACGGATCAGGAAAGGTTTCTGGTGGTTCATTGGAGATAAGAGTCTCAGGGACTTTTCCTGCCGGGGCTGGCTTTGAACCCATGATCCTCAGATCTCAGCCTCCTGAGTAGCTAGATTTCAGGCGGGAGCCACCAGAGCACAGCAAGATAGCAGGATTCCATGCAAAGCTGAGAGGGCTCCTCGCTCACCCAGACACACACACTCATGCTCAACAAACAGACATGTGTGCACAAGACTGGCCGCGGCCTCCCGGCCACCCCCTGGCGCTGTTCTATTTTGATTTGTTGAGATGGGGTCTCACTGGTAGACCAGGCCGACCTCTGATTCTTCATCCTCCAATCTCTGCCTCCCAAGGGCTGGGATTAGCCGGTGCCACCACCCCGAGCTACCTTCCCAGTCTTGACTCATCTGCCCCCCTTAAGGCTCTAAGGCCTGACCAGAGGGTTTAGGAACCTACGTTCCCTAGAGACTCTGCAGAGGTGGCTGGGGCGGAGGGAGGCATAGGGAGGGGTTGTTCACTGGGTGGGTGGGGGCAGGGGAGGGCAGGGCTGAGTGTGGGGATTGGGCAGCTAGGAGGGGAGGGAGGGTCTTATATCTTGTCGGCTAATCAAAGAACCAGAGAATCTAATCACCAGGGGCTGAGTAGGGAGCCGGATTCCAGCCTGTTCTCCAAGTCCCTAACCAAACACCGATAATGAGCTCCCGCAAGCTCAGGCCTGCCGCAGGCAACGAAGCCTCGGGTGTGTGCAGTTACAGTCCTGGGCTCTGGGTCTTCACCAGCCAGGCTTGGGTTGGGGAGAGGTCTGGGTACCTGTAACCTGCAGGGCAGAGTCGGCCCAGGCGCTTCCAGTGTCCAGGGAGGCTCCCATAGGGTGCCTGGGGCAACAAACAGCCTTTAACTTCCTTGGCTTTTCAAGAAACCCCAGGCTGGAGCACCTTCTGCCACAGGGCCTTTGCACTAGCTGCAGGCATTGCTTAGAACTCCCATGGCTCAGCTATTGCTGGGCCCTTGTCTTCAAATCTCTGCTTTAGGGTCACCTCCCTAGAGACGTTTTCTCGGGCAAGCCCCATCCCTCCTCCCACTGAACCCCAGGACCCTCTACATATTTTCTTCAAGGTTTTCTCTTTCCTGAACTTGTCAGAGGAATGTGTGCTACTTTATCTTCCTACTCCTGGTTGGACGTAACTCCGAGGGCGGAGCCTTATCTGTCCCTGTCACTGCGGGTTGCCCAGCGTGAATGTCCACATCTGGGCTCGGCCCAAATCTTCCTCTGGACCCACATCTGGCTCCCATGGAGGACGCTCATGCCCTCAGCCCACCCTTCCACCCACACCCCCAAAGGGGACCCCCCCATCTCTGCATGTAACAAATGCCCACAGGGCCCTTTGTGAACATTTTTCTTCTGGAACCCGTCCCAACAGTCTGATTAGTCTGATTACGTATCTTTCGCTTTCCCAGGTGGAGGAACAGGTTCAGAGCGGTTAAGCGATCTGCCTGAAGTTACCCAGCGGTCATATGGCCAAGAGGCCCTCCCCAATCCGAAACTCCTGTTTTCTGTGCGTCTCTTTCCTCCCATGAGCTTAATAAAGCTTGAGGAGTGGGGGCCACACAGCCCAGATTTCTGTATCTGGGACGTCCCGCGTCTAATGTTTACTTGGGGAAATCAAGGCCACCATCCTTGTGTGTGAACGTGGTGGCCCTTCGCCCGTGTATCAAGGCCCTGATATGGTCCTGGGTAAAGAGAGACAAGCTCCCTCCAAGAACACCTGGTACCTCCCCCCCCTCCGCTCTTCCCCCCCTTCCCTGCCCTCCCTCCACAGCAGCCATTGGCACACGCAGGCAAGATCTAATCACCTTACACCCACACAACACAGGCCCATCTTCTCCACCACCCCACTCCTTCTGGAACCATCTCCCCCCCCCCAGAGGGGATCCAAGCCAGGCTTGAAGGGGGACAGGTGGAAGCGGCAGCGGGGAGGGGCCTTGTTCCTCCGGCCATCGCTTAGGAAGAACAGAAAGACAACTTACCTCCACCCACAAACTGGGCCCAGAGGGCACCTCCTGAGGCGGAAGAGTCCACCTATGATCAGGACAGGCGCTGGGAGGGGTCGCTGGACACCAGGCGGAGGCCCTTGCCAGCCTCCCCCAGGGAGGACCCTTTCCCCCTTTCCTTGCCCTCCTCCTGGGACCCCCTGTTGATCCACCACCTCCACAGCGAAAGCTCCCCCCCCCAAGTTCCACAGAGCCAGAGGAGCGAAAGGAAACGAATGGCATCAGGACTCAGACAAGGTCAGATTTGAGCAAACGCGACCCCTACACTAGAGGCTGAGGCCAGGTGCGCTCGGGTAATGGTGTGGAAAAGACCTGGGGGGTCCAGGTTAGGTGTAAAGCTCCCAAGAGCCAGCAGGGCCAGCGAAGGGAATTGAGGAGGCGCCGGGCTGATCGTCCGGCAGTGCACACCAGGCCTAGGACCTGTACTCGAAAGGGGTGAGCACCAAGAGTGCTGGATGCCCCGTGTGAGTGGAAGGGATAAAGGCCGAGACTCACTGAAGCCTGGGGCTGTGTGGCTGCGTCAGGCCCGAGACAGAGGAGGAATCTGTGCACAGCCAATAGCCAAATGGGGACACTAAGTCTCCACGTCAGCAGACGCTGCTTCCCTGGTCAGGAACTGAGTTAGTACCCAGTAAAAGGGAATGAGGGCTTCTGAGCCAGTGTGCTCAGAAGAATGAGGACTGGGATTTTGAACTCAGGGCTTTATACTTGCCAGGCAAGGACTCGACTACTAAGCCACTTTCCCAGCTGCCATGCCGAGTTTCTGAGATGGAATCTCTGAACACATCAAATTTTGGGCCTCAAAAATCAGTCCTCTGAATCTCCCCTTCCTGAGTGCCTGGAATTATAGATCCATGCCACCACACCCGCCCCACTGGGAGTTGTCTAGAAGGTCCTGGGCTGAAGGCTCTCCTTGAAGGGGTTCTGAACCTCGGCCCTCAGCCCTTGAGAACAGCCTCTCTGGAGGCTGAGGCATGGAGGGCGGAAAGCAGGGCGGAGGAGGCCCCGTCCCCTCTCACGGACCCAGCCAGTTCTGAGGATGGCGAGATGGAGGAACAGAGCTCTGGGAGCAGTGGGTGCTGGGCGGGCCGGGGCGAGCGCAGGGCCACCCTGTCTGCCCATCACTCAGAGCCCAGGCTTGGAATCCAGAAGACTTGAGGGCAGGCTGGGGGCAGGGGTGGGGAGGAGACTCCCGACTGGCATCCCGCCTCTGCCCGGGCCACTAATTAACCCCTGGCCCCAGGGAGGCCGTGGCTCTCCTCCTGGCCTGCTTCCTCCCCTGCTCTGGGAGATAGCAGCGAGGCTGACAGATAAATGGCGCAGGCCCCATAAAGGAAGCCGCTGGCTGTTTATCCCCCGTGAAGAGCTGTCATTACCCAGGGGTGGGCTCGGGAGGGCCCCTCCCGGTCCGACCTGAATTGTCACTGGTGGACAGGATGCCAGAGCCCAGTCCTTTCCGGAGGGAAGCCCGGGGGGCTGGGTAGGGCCCCCACTTCTAAAGCAGAGAAGGGAGCCCTCCACAAGCCCAGCTGATGCAGGTGATGGTGTTTAGTTGGCTGATCCCATCGGCACACCACACCCAGAGGTCGGCTGGCCGGGCTCGCCCCTCCCCCGCCCCCCCTTCCTGCCAGGAAAGCTGTCCTCTCCCACGCTGCCGCTGCCCTCCTTTGCTAGAGGAAAATTCCTGCATCGGGAATGGCAGGGAAGCAATTCCTGGGGCCTACCTGCCCCTCCACATGCCACTGAAGCAATGATCGCTGTGTGTGTGTGTGTGTGTGTGTGTGTGTGTGTGTGTGTGTGTGTGTCTCCTCAGGGCATCTGTGGCCTAGAGAATGAGGATAACTCTCCTCCCAGAGCGGTTCACCAAGAACAGCCATGAGCCTGAAGACCGGGGCCACAATGGGTCCTGTCTGATTCTGGTTTATTTAGCTAGGGGCCTGTTATATAGCATAGGCTGGTCTCGAACTTGTATGTATCTCAGACTGGCCTCCAAATGGTGACCTTGCCTTAGCCTCCTGTGTGCCAGGTTCCAGGTATCTGCCACCACACCTGGTTTACAGCTAGGCTCTGTGTGTGTGGTGTGTGTGTGTGGTGTGTGTGTGTGGTGTGTGTGTGTGTGGTGTGTGTGTGGTGTGTGTGTGTGTGGTATGTGGGGTGTGTGGGGGTGTGCGTGCGTGTGTGGTATGTGTGGTGTATGTGTGTGGTGTGTGGGGTGCGTGTGGGGGTGCGCGTGTGTGTGGTGTGTGTGTATGTATGTGAGTGTGTGCTGACAGCAGGGCCTGAACTCAGAGCCTGGGTGCTGTCCCTTTTGTTGCTTCAAGGCTGGTGCTTTAACCACTTGAGCCACAGCTCCATTTGCAGCTTTTTTTTTGTTAGTAATGGGGCTTGAACTCAAGAGTCTGAGTGCTGTCCTTGAGCTCTTCGTGCACAAGGAGAGCACTCTACCACTTTGAGCCACAGTGCCACTTCTGGTTTTCAGGTGGTTATGTGGAGATGAGAGTCTCACAAGCCAGGCACCAGTGGCTCATGCCTGTAATCCTAGCTACTCAGGAGGCTGAGATCTGAGGATTGAGGTTCAAAGCCAGCCCCGGGCAGGAAAAGCCATGAGACTCTTATCTCCAATAAACCACTCAGAAACTGGAAGTGGAGCTGTGGCTCAAGTGGTAGAGCACTAGCCTTGAGCTGAAGAGCTGAGGGACAGCGCCCAGGCCCAGCGTTCAGGCCCCATGATCACCACCAACAACAAAAAAAGTGTCCCACAGACTTTCCTGCCTGCACTGGCTTTGAACTGTGGTCCTCAGGTCTTAGCCTTCTTGGTAGCTAGGATTACAGTGCCAGCCATTAATGCCTGGCTGGAAGCACAGTTCTTTAATCACCCAGGGACTTGCCTGAGACAGAAAGAGGGCTCCTGCCATAAGAGGGAGCCCCCAGGTCAGACCTTAGGCGAGGTGGGCGCCCCTGGTGGCTTGAGAGGGGGCAGAGGCTGCTGCGCGCGCGGGCAGGGCGGATCTGTGAGGAAGACCCCGTGTGAGGAGGCCCAGCCTGGTTACACATTACACTGTTTCCTTCTGCTACTTTGGTCTTTCAGTAGTGTCTGGTTTAAAGCTTCGGCCTGGACTCTGCCCTGCTGCAGCCGCTGAGAACTCACTGTCCCCCTTTGGGCCAAGGTATTCAAACAGAGCAATGCCCCCAGGGCCTGCCCCGAAGGGTTCCAGAGAGGGGAAGGCTCCCCGCGTCCCCTGGTCCACTGCCAACCCCACAGTCTTGTCTCCAGGACTCCAACCATCCAGTCAATTCCTTCTCCTCTCCCTTTCTCTCTCCTCTCCTCCTTTTTCCCCCCTTTTTTTCTTCAGTACTGGGATTGTAAACTCAGGCTTGCTAGGCTGGCGCTCTACCACTTGAGCTAGCTCCCTGGCCTTGTCATTTCACTTTCAGCATCCATCCCTGAGAATTCTTTTCTTTTGGTTCCGGTCGTGGGGCCTGAACTCTGGGCCTGGGCGCTGTCCCTCAGCTCTTCAGCTCAAGGCTAGCGCTCTACCACTTGAGCTACAGCGCCACTTCCGGCTTTTTTCTTTTTGCTAATGTGGTGCTCAAGAATCGAACCCCAGGCCTCAGGCATGCAAGGCAAGTGCTCTACCATTGAGCCACCTTCCCAGCCCATCCCTGAGAATTCTTAAGTTCTGCGCCACAAGTTCTCAGAGATGATAAAGAAATGATCAACTGCCAGGCACCCGTGGTTCAGGCCTATAATCCTAACTAAGGAGGAGGCTGAGATCTGAGGATCACAGAAGCCAGCCAGGGCAGGAAAATCAATGGGATTCTTATCTCCAATTAGCCAGCAAAAAACCAGAGGTAGAGCTGTGGCTCAAGTGATAAAGCACTAGCTTTGAGCAAAAAAGCTCAGGGATAGTGCCCAGGTCCCGAGTTCAAGCCCCAGGACTGGTGCATGTGAACACACACACACACACACACACACACACACACACACACAACCACTGGCTTCCCAAAATGCAGTGCCTACCTCTATTAGGTTTATGCCTGCCCTCCTGAGACCCACAAGAAGGTAACACACGCTGCGCCAGAATTTAAAAATAAGTATATTAATAATAAATATGTTAAATTACATTTAAAACAATAAATAGAAAAATAAACTGATAAATAAAATCAACAGGTACAAAATGTTTCAAAATTCCAACCAAAAACAACAACAACAACCCAACCCTCAACAAAACAAAAACACACGGACAGCCAACAGACAAGACAGAGGGGCGTCGGGGAAGGGTGCGCACTGCACCCAGAGGCCTTCACAGTTTCCTGGGGGGGGGGCCTCCCCGGCCCCTCCTCGCCCAGCCCGGGGCCGGGCACTGGGTGGCCGACATCTTTGGGGATTCCAGCAGCATAGGGAAGCATCTGG